CCTCCTCCACCTCCTGCTCCTCCGGGCGGGCGAGCGGGCGGCTCCACTCTCCGCTGCTGGGCCAGGACCCGGCCGGGAGCTCGCCGAGGGAGGCCGCTGTGCGCCCCAGGTGTGCACTCCAGTCCCCGCGATGCGCTGAAGTCCTGCGGTAAGTTCTGGCAGTGCCCTGAGGACTTGGCTGAGGAAAATCGGGCAGGAAAGTCAGGCAGCAGAGTGGCTTTGAGTTCTGCAAGGCTGGAGTGCGTCATTCTTGGGCTTTTGGGGACAGAAAATAGGCGATGTTCCCCGAGAGCCACTGTAGTATTTTGGCAGAAAATCTAACTGGGAAGGAACAGCAGGGCTGATCATACTCGGTGGCCAAAGCTCCTGCACTTAATCTGGGCCGTCTTCGTTCACACTCGCCAGGCCACACTCAGGCTTATGTCCGTGTCTGATTTTATTGCTCGTTTCTGAAATGATTTTGAAGCAAATAGCGTTGGCTGTATTGGGACATCTTCCCACTTCTAAAACTGGCATTTTCCTCCGCTGTGTTAGGAAGTGGGAACCTTATTGTGAACTCTGTTGGGCACAGTCACCTTAAACGAAAAGTCTTTGTCGCTCAGTTAGAACGCTTTTACCATCTACGCTTTTTCCAGATTGGTATTGACCATGCCTGGCTCTGAAGCCTCAGCTCACTGCCTGCTGAGTTACAAGGTGGGAAAGTGCTGAGGCTTCTCTCTGAAGCCCTCAGCAGGCTGACTTGCCCCAGCCAGGCAGGTTTGTGTGCCCCAAACCTTGTTGCTAAGGAATTAAGCAAACACTGAGGGAAAACTTGCTGTCAAGCATTCCACTCTCCCTGACACTCAGCTTGAGATTTAGGTGTGTGTGTGTGTGTGTGTGTGTGTGTTTGTGTATACGCGTGAGCGAGCATGTGTACATGCATGTGTGTGACCTCCTAGGGCAGCGGTGGCGAACCTTGTAGAGCTCTCAGTGATACAAACAGCCCACCGTAGGACAAGCAGTAGCTTTGCCGCCACTGGCTTAGTTTTTATGTGTAAATGCAGGCTTTCTACAGGATTTATCTTTGCTATCTACATTCATTAAGTGAATCTGAACTCTATTGGCTTTTTCCCCTTTCTCTTTTTTTGAGTCCCATTAGCACTGGGAAGTTTTGTTTTGTTTTCTTGCTGCTATTTGTCTTATCCACTTGTAAGTCAGTCCAGGAGTCTTGGGTCTTTGCAGCCAGTGCAGCCCTAAATTAGACTGTTGTTTGTTTAAACTTCTGCTTTCCTAGTAAATTCTACAAATAGAAACTGCAACTAAATGGCTTGGTGAAACCGAAGTCAGATGCTCTTCCATTAACCCAAGAAGTTCCCTTCACAAGGCCACAGAGGCCCAAGCTTGTATCACAGCCTCCCTCAAAGATGCCGGGGATCTGAGGGAGGAGACGCCTCCTTCTTAGATTTAAGTGTCATTGATAACAGCCATCAAAGCACCTGCAGTCTCTGCCTTTTGCCCCCTTTGCTTCTTAGTGTAGGCACAATCTTCAGAGGCGTACTGTGAAGGAATAAGTAGCCACATCCCTTTGCAGACAACTAAGGAGTCTAATGCATCTGTCTGCAAAGCTAGGTGACTCGGTACTTCTTCCCTTCATGCACCCAAAGTAGGCACAAGTGACACATTTGATTTACTGTGCACTGACATAGCCCAGCCCCCTTGAGCACAGATCTGCACTTAATCCTCTGGAACCCCTGGGCTCAGCAGTAGGGCTGCCATTACTTCCGTTTTACGCAGCTGAGGGAAGTTGAGGCACCGAGCTGTTTGATGCTCTTCCAACATCATGCACACAGTACACAGAGGGTGGTGAGAGCCAACCCTACACTGACAGAGCCCTGAGGACTGCTAGGCTGCAGGACAGGAGCTAGACTGCTTTCCAGGCTCCGTTTGGACAGCAGAGAAAGACACACAGGTAAAGGAAGCTGAGAGTAAAGCACAGGGCTCTTGTGTGCCACTCAGGAGCATTTCCTGGAGCCCGGAATTGAAGCTCTGGTCAAACCGTGTGGCTTTGACAGTGTCCTGTGTGTTAGTTTTTGGAATCTTTCTTTTGGCACTGCTGGGGATTCAAACCTAGGCCTTGGAGCATGCTCAGTCACCGCTGTACCACTGAGCTACAGTTCCCAGTGAGCTTGCACTTTTAAGACTCTTAAATGACCTTTCACAGAGGGGCTGTGCTTCTGGGAGCCCAGGGGCTTAAGTTACAGCCAGGCTTTGAGATTGTCTCTGAGCTTCGATCCTATTGTCTCTGGTCCTTTGGTTCTGAGATCCACAGGGACAGTGTCTTTTTCCCTCCTTTGTTTCATTGTCTTTTTTTTCATTTACACTTCCACAAATGCCCTGCCTGACTAGGGGGAACCGAAACGCCACTTTGGCTCAATAGAGTAGCTGCTCTTCACCCAGGACTTGCTTGAAGTGGATTTGAATTTCTTGGTCTGTGCTAGAAGCATTTTTAGAGAGTCATTGATCTAGATACTAAAATAACCTTTTGAGACCCTTGGGATGTTTGCCTTGTGCTGTTAAAGAATTCTGGTCTCAGAAGAAACAGCTGAATCACAGGTCAAAAAAATCCTGTCCCTTCTTACCCTCATTGAATCCTAGGCTCCTGCCTGCCTCCAAGTACTGCTTAACTCATCCGCCCAGAATGACCCCTGAAACCTTATTGGCGTCACTTTCCCTTGGATTAAAATCTGTTTTTTACACTTCTGCTCTCAGCATCTGAATTTTGTTTGCCAAATTAGCTTCTGAGTTTAGTCAAACAGCCATTTGTCTTTCAAGTTACCGGGGATCTAAAGCCACCGTGATTCTTACAGAGAGAATTGCTGCTCTGGGGAACACCTGGGTTGTGCAAGATTGGAAGCTGGCAAGGGCAGGGTCCGGAGGTCTTCAGAGATTCCTGAGCTGCACTTTCTTGTGTGGCCTTGTGGTGGAAGTTTGTTTGTAGTAGCTAGAACTGATGCCACAGTGAGTAACCTGCAAGCTGTCCGGGTCTCAGGTTCCCCTGAGGATTAGCTGAGGTCCCTGTCAACTGGGCACCATCTGCCTGCTCGCTCGCACACACTGTTGACACACACAGGGCCCTGGTTTCATAAGCTCTGCCCCCAGTCCTTCCTTGGCACGTCCACTGGGCTTCAGCCGGGGCCACTGACACCGTGGATGGACATCTGTGCTTCCTTTTGTAGACTCCAGCCAGCACCACAGGGATGGAGTACATGAGCACTGGGAGTGACCACAAGGAGGACATCGATTTATTCATCGGCCATTTAAATGTGTCGGATGTCATAGACATCATGGAAAATCTGTACACGAGCGGGGAGCCAGCCATGTACGAACCCAGTCTGAGGAGCGTGTGTCAGGACAGCGGTCAGAGCGAGGAGGCCCCGGAGCCGCTGCTGCGGAGTGGCCAGGAGGTGCCGTGGTTTTCGTCAGTCAGATACGGAACTGTGGAGGACCTGCTGGCTTTCGCGAATCATATATCCAACACTGCAAAGCGTTTCTATGGACACCGAATGCAGGAATCTGGGATTTTATTAAACATGGTACGTGCTCTCTGACCTGCTGAGTGCTGGGTGTTCAGCTTTTCGAATGTGCCTTTCTTTCCTGCAGAGTGGCATTTGAATCTGGTGGAACCTGCTGTCAGGTAGGATCTTTTGAAAGGTAGGAGCCACCTCTGTGATAAAAATGCAAAAGAAGTCATCATGAAAAGTTCCCTTTAAACAGTCTTGGCTATAATTCAGTAGCAGTTCTACAAAGAGATAATTAAGACTATAATTTGTTTTTAGTTTCTTTTTGTTTTGGGGGGTGTTTTTTGCCTAGCATGTGCTAGGCAAGTGCTCTACAACTAAACTACACCCTCCCCTTTGAGAATGTATTTTAATTTACCAATTCATTAAAAAGCCCAGTCATGACTAGTATAGATGAGAACGGCTTACTGAGAATACTTCAGCTGAGGGGGTATTAAGCACCTTGTTAATACTTTCAAAGGCTGAGTTATTCGCTTCTCTCTTATCACAACTTAAAGTGTAACAATTCTAACAGTGGCTGAATTCAGTTCTTCCACAAGTGGGGTTTGTAGACAGCTATCCATAGACGTGTTCTTGATTAATTGGCAGGCTATGAATGACAAACAAGGCATTAGTTTAGTCATCCCAAGCATGCAAATAATCCAAAATATTGTGACAGACATTGTTGCCACAGTAGCCATCGGGTGAGACACTTAGGTGTGCCCGCCCTTCTGTCAGGCTCAGTGTGTCAAAGGTGAGCGTGGGCGCAGGCTAAAAGGTGGTCTGACTTTTTTAGAAGGAATGGTTTGCAGAGGGTAGGTGGTAACTTGCAAAGCGTGCCTCTGGATGGAAGTGGTTCTCTTTCCTTTGCGTCTAAAGGGCAGAGCGGCTGCACCCGGGGAGGTGAGTGCCAGCCCAGCAGAGTCTGGATAGTACTTAATTATTTTGTTTCCTGCATGCCACATTAATTTAGTGAAACACAATACAGTAATTTAGGTCAGCTCTGTGGCGAGTTGTTTTGTTAGAAGCAGTTTTGCTCAGCTTATTGTGGAGCAGGATTGTGTTTCCCATCGTTGTGTGACCTCCTTTGGCCTGCAGGTACCAAACAGTTCACCGAGTGCTCTGCCTTCAGATTATTGCTTCCTTTAGTAAGTTGGAAGTAATAATTCGAAGTAGGATGATGCCTGATTTCCTAAGTAACATACAGGTGTAGCACTATGCTTCACCCATATATATATATGAACATACTTTCACATATTTCTCTCATTTGTTGCATGTTTGTTAAACAAAGATATTCAGAATAGACACATTATTCTTGCTTCTAAATCTATAGAGACTTGGGTATTTTGGGCTGTCCCATGGCACACTGATGAGAAATGAGCCATGTGCACAAGGAAAATTACAAGAAATACAATGACACGGTCTCTTGAAGATGTTAGGAGCAGGGCCAGAAAAGCTAGCACAGAAAAAGAAACGGAGCCATTAAAAGGAAGTGAAAATTCTATCAGCAAAGGGTAAGAGCAAAATGTTGTCATTTCCTGCCAAGCAGTCTATGCTGTGTGAAGGAACAAATGCTTGCTAAAGAGAACATTTACTGATAGGATGTATCATAAAGGCAGGGATCTTGAAAACTTCAAAATATTTTTATTTTAAAAATGACCCAGAATATAAAATATAAGCAAAAAAAGTGAAACAAAGAAAGAAACCCGGAGTGAGGTAAGGGGAGGTGCCGTGGCACTGGCCTCTCCGGGCTGCAGTGAGGACTCGGAGCCGGGGTAGACTCTGCAGGGCCGAAGTGACAGGCTGGCTCGATCCTTCCCTGGCTGTGCCTTTTGCAGCCCTGCTTCCTCGGCTGTGGCTGAGACTTGGGCCCAGCGTCTCCGCCTATGTCCAACACTCTGGGAGTCAGGGCTGGCTCTCCCCTTCCTGCCTTCCTATGCGGCACAGCTCTCTTAGGGGCCCATCCCGGGGCGGCCAGGCCTCTTTCCTCTTGTCGTCTTCCACCTGTGACCCCTGGGACCCTTTCAGCTTCTGGTTCTCTTTGCTGCTGTCTCCCTGCGTGAGAACGTGGTCTGCACACAGCTTGGCTCCCAGGTGGAAACCACTCTCAGGCGTACTCACACAGGGACGGGAGGCTTTCATGTGTCTCTGTTCGCCTGTAGACACAGCGCAGGCGGACATCCGGGGCAGACAGGGCTCTTCCAGATAGAGAGCTTCGGCTGGTCTGTGTCCTGGGCAGTGGGGTCCCAGAAGCCTCGGAATGTCCTAGCGGGACATTTCACACGAGTGTGAAGTAGGGGGAAGGGGGAACGTCAGCCTGGGCTTCCAAGAAAAATTGGTGCCTATGCCAAGGTCTGAGCGTTGTGTTATATTCAGCCAGATGAAGTGGGGCATGTTGCAGATGAGGGGAACAGCGTGTTCAAAGGCCCAGAGGCACTGAGATCTGGTGTGCTCAAGCAGAGTTAATTAGACAGGGTGGAGAGGCAGGAATTACAATAATACCCTGGAGCACAGGGGTGTTGGATGGCATTCTTTCTGTGTGTGTACGTGTGCTATGTTTCTAAAAATAATGTTTGTGAGGGAGCCACTGCAATCCAGGCAAGGAACTTTAGGAGACTAGGAATTGCTTTGTGTCCGAGTGCTACAAATTATTTCTAACCTAGGCTGATTTATAACCTGGAATAATTCAAAAATGTGTCCACAGGACTCTGGGATGAGTGTGCAGGGGGTGGGGGGTGAGAGGCCCCAGAGCATCCACTCAGGGCCAGATGGATTGGGGCAGTCGGGGCTTCTCACGTTGGAGCCCCAGGATCCCTGAGCCCAGCCCTCGCGGCCCCGTCCATCACACTCACAGTGGGCAGATCTTTCCGTTCTGTGCTGGAATCATCCCACCCGGGCGGCCTGTTCACCCGGTTCTGACTGAGGGATGAGTTCTGCTCTGCCTGCCCCTGAGACTGGTCTAACGAAAATCTCTAAGAAGCTCCCCAAGCTTTCCTTCTCCTGGCCTGCCCTGTTTCCACGGAGAACAGAGCCGGGTGAGGGGATGGAGTGCACACTTCTGAGGGCCACATCTGAAGGTGACGTTGGTGAGTCAGGAACTGGCAGGAAAAGGCAGCGCAGAGTCCCCAAGGCTGTTGGGGGCTTTGGAAGAAAGGGAAGGAGAATCAGTCTCGCGTCCCAGTCGGCTCGGCCCCGGCCAGGGGAGGCCCAGGAGCTTTGCAGGACTGCACACGGGCGGGACTTGTGCCTCACACACTGTCCCCAAGGACTCGGCACCTGCAGAGTGGGTCCTCGGGCCTAGGAGTTGGAGGTGGGGGAAGCCAGGGCCCAGCGAGGAGAAGGCTGTGGTGTGCCCGGTGACATGTGGATGGGGCCTATAGGCTGGGCTTGCCCCATGGCTCCTGTCATTACGGCCCCTGGGGCACTGAAGGCTCTTGGACCAGCACCGGAGCTCTGGCTTCGGAGGTAGGCTGGCCAAGTCTGACTCCTGTCTCCAGGGCTGACTCGTAGTTAACCAACCTCTTCAAGTCAGTTTCCTCACCTGGAAAATGGAGGCAAAAATAGCCCTCAGCTCACAGGGCCCTGGTGGATCTTGACCAGATCATGGATTGAAGTTCCGAGCACAGTCCTGGCCTACAGTATGCAGCAGCTGTTAACAACCTTCCTACTCCTGGACAGAGTCAGAGGGAAACTGAGTTATAACCAGTGTAGTGTGGACAACAGTGAAATTGGAGAAGTGAGTTAAGCTGAAAGTGGTTCCATGGAGGGCCTGGCGTTGCTGGGTCTGCTAATATTTAACAAGTGAGGGTAGGTGAGGACCCTAGCGGGGCTCAGTCTGTATTCGTCAGGCCCTCAGGAAGCTGTGAACAGAGGCCTCCGTGACTAGGAGGGTCATTGCCACCAAGTCTCAAACAAGACTGGGCCGTGCTTTACCCGTATGCCCTCCAGCGCCCGCAGGCCCTTTCGCACAGCAAAGTTCTCGGTAAATAATCCATTTCTGAGCTCAGCTGCTGTGTATTTCTGAGTTACCACTGGCTCTCTGCTTCATCGGCGGACATACTGTTGGGATGTCCCGAGCCCGGGCCTTGGCAGTGGTGAGCAGGGACCCTGGGCATCTGCCGCCCAGTCAGCGGCTCTGGCTCCTCCCAAGGCAGGTCTGGGGTTTTCTGCATTCCCCTCCAGCATCCTCTGTACTTGAAATAACTTTGTGATTCCTGACTTTATAATCCCAAGCCATGATGTCACTAATTACATTTAGAAGAAACCGGTTCTGCAGACTATCCCCGGGAGAACACTTTATACATTTCAGGCATCTTTCCCAGGCCCTGCCTTCCATAGATTCATGTATTAATCTTAATTGTTATTTTCCATTTGTATTTTTCCTCTTCAGGCATTCATTGAGGTGCTTTCTGTACTGTAAGAGAGATCTTAGCACCCGGTCTCATGAGCTCTAACCAGAGTGCTACTGGGATAGGTGCCTGCTGGTTTCCGAGTTGGTGAGCTGTGTTTATTTCACTGAGTCTTTCCTTCGAGGCACCTAGTGTTGTTTTATTCACTATGTTGATCCGTTTTTTCTTGGTGTCCCTGGTTTGCCAGCTCTGGTCCTAAGGGTTTGCTGACTCAGGAGTGAGGAGGACAGGGCCCGTGTCGTTGCAGCTGCCTCCTCAGCCCTGAACCGTGTGCCGGGCGATATTAGACATGTAGTAAATATTAAATGGGTGAGTCGACGAGGCAGTCCTGCCCTGACTGTTTCTGAGGCATTGTCCACTCATTGCTCTGGCGTTGCACGCTGTTTTCCACGGTCCTCCGTGCTCCTCGGCCTATTCCCACGTTCTCTCTGAGTGCATCATGCTGAGTAATAGCCACACAGACAAACAGGTCCTAGCACCTGGGTAGAAGAAGCAGGCGGTGAGTAGGCACAGCTGTCACCTTTATTTTCAGCCCACAGGTCACACGCGTCGTGTTCCTCAGACTGATTGTGTGTTTACCTTTCCAACTTTTAGTTTTCGTTAGTACTTGCTCCCAGCACAGAGGGGCCCCACTCCCTGTGGGGAGTTGGTGCATCGCCCAGCGTGCATCAATTCTTTTTTCATGGCCTCCCCCGGCCTCCCTCTATCTCAGGATTCCCTCCCCGTCCGAATCCCCTGCTTCTTACTGTCTTTGAGAGAAATGCTGTTTAGGTTCTGTTAGGCAGTGGAGGTGGAAGTGTGTCCGAGTGTAACCCCAGCGTCTCACAAGCCTTCTCTTGCTCGCTCACGTTCTAAACACAGGCCCTGGACGGTGTTAGGGTTGTGAACCGTGGCACCGTTTTACATGCTGTGCATCACAGGGCTTCCGAACTAGCCAGCTTCTGTTTGCTGGGCCTCAGGAAAGGATAGCTTTGCTGAAGTTCTTGCCCCTTGCATTTTTATTTTCTTTTAGGTAATCTCTCCCCAGAACGGCCGCTACCAAATAGACTCCGATGTTCTCCTCGTCCCGTGGAAGCTGACTTACAGGAACATTGGCTCCGATTTCATTCCTCGCGGGGCCTTTGGGAAAGTGTACTTAGCTCAAGATATAAAGACCAAGAAAAGAATGGCATGCAAACTGGTATGTGCATTGAGTCTGTGTGTTTGACATTCCTGCTTTTGTTTGTTTGCGTGGACTAGCGATCTCCCCTTACACTGCATCTTATCTGAGGGTATCCAGCACAAGCATTTGTTTTTCTGGATTTGCTCACTACGTGGGGCCATGCAGCCTGGAATTAGGTCTCTGTGATGCCTAAGAGATTTTGAGATGGTCTTTACAATGTGAGGCTAACATCGCTCTACTTGCCTGGGAAGGGAGAGGAGCTACCCTGCAGCATGAGATCAAACCCACCCCAGGCACAGCCCCCATGTCCTGTCCACAGGGAGACGCATGTGGCTGAGAGGCACAGGTGTTAAAAGGGCAGAATCAGAATATTCCACTTATTCAAAGGCCCCATTTCTTCCTGTTAATCAGTAACTGCTGCGGTGTTTCTACTTTGGAAAACCTACACCGGGCTGTGACCCAGTAATTCTGCTCTGGCTGTTAAATCCAACCAAAACCTGGCGGTGCGGTCACCAGAAGTGACTGAAATGTGGCCTGTTCAGCTCAGCATTGCGAGTCCCAAACCAGAAAGTGCCCAGATGCTGAAGGTAGACTGTTTACACTCTGGAATGCTGCAGGAGAGACAGGATCAGTGACTGATGACCAAAATCAGGTGACTGTGTTGCAGCCATTACACTGAGCCCAGATAGCCAGGCCCTCAGGAAGAGGCACTGGGTGCGACTCCTTACGTAGAGGACACAGGCAGGTGAAGCAGATCCAAGCCACCGGTGCCGGGCAGTGGGGTCCACAGGAAGGCGTGTGGAGCGGATCTCTGGGTGCTGGAGGAGCTCTGTTTTTATTTACATGAAGAGGAAGGATTTGTAACAAGACATTTAAACTTTGTATGTTCAAGTGATAATTCATTGAGCTTGGCTCTTACCATTCCTATATTTTAATCTGTACCTGTTTTGCTTTAATTAGCTTTTTAAAAGTGTGATAAAGTACACTACCTCTTTTCATAGTGCTGAGGACTGAAGCCAGGGCCTTCTGCATGCTAGGTGAGGGCATTACTTCCAAACTTTACCCCTGGCCCAAATGTTCACTTTCGATTTAATAAAAAAGTAATTGCCAGATATTATGTATCAGACTCTCTCACTGTGATTAAAAAGCAAACAGTATGTCGTCACGTGTTCCTTCACAAAGATGCGCTGGGCTGGGGGGTCCAGCACAGAGGCACAGAGCTGCCCTACGTGCTGCTGGCCTTGGCTTCCATCCTTAGCACGAAAACAAAAGGAGGGAAAGAGAAAGAAGGAAAGGAAGAAAGAAAGCAAACTTGCTAGAGAATCTATTATTTTTACTACCTAGAATATAATTAGAAGTCAGAGGAGAGATCTGTAACAAGACACTTAAAGCTTGCAGTTACACACGTGTTTTGTAGTCTGTGTGCGCAGTGCGTGACCCCATTCCTCACGGGGTCGGTGCAGGTTCTCACACCTCCTAATTCTTTGTCATCACCTTCTTCTCCCTTCCACCTCTGTCCCTCCATCCCTCAGTCCCCTCTCTTTTCAAAATGTCTGTCTCCCTATTTCCTACTATCTGTCTTTGATTTCGTTCTTACGTCATGCGATACTGAAGCTTGTGTATCTGATTTATTTCACTTCACATTGTGGTCTCAAAGTGCAGCTATTATCCTACAGATGACTCTAGTTTATCCTTTGGATGGCAGAGTAGTATCCCATTGTACGAATGCCACGTTTTCTTTAACCATTCAACTTTTGATGAACACTAGGCACTTAGATTTAGCTGGTATGAATTGTGCTGCTGGAAATATGAGTGTGCCTGTACCACTGTAATACAACTGTTTTAACTCTTTTAGGAAGATGCCGAGGAGGGGAATAGCTGAGTCAAATGAAATGTTTAGTTTGTTGAGGAATCTCCATACTGATTTCCATACGGGTTGTACTAGTTTACATTTTCACCACCAAGGGTTCCTTTTTACCCCATAGCCCCACCCAAATTTGTCATTATTTGATTTCTTGATGATAATCATTCTTTCTTGAGTAAGATGGAATCTCAGTACTGTTTTAATTTGCATATCTTTAATGGCCAGAGATGCTGAACATTTTTAAGGTATTGATTGGCTATTTGTACTGCTTTTGAGAAGTGTCTACTCATTTGTTTGAGTCTTTTTTGGGGGTGTCTCACTTTTATATTTTTTTTATATATTCTAGATATTAGTTCTCTGTCCAAGCAAGGAATTGCTGTAAAAAAATTTTTTTTCCATTCTGAAGGCTGTCTCTTCACCCTTAAAACTTACATCTCAAAAAGTGCATCTTCAAATTATAAAAAGTCTGGAGGCATTTTTGTTTTTTGAGGCAGGGTCTCACTATCAGTTCAGGCTGGCCTTGAACTCACTAGGTAATGCTGGCTGGCCTTGAACTCATGGCAATCCTCCTGCCTCAGCCTCCCAAGTGCTGGAACTACAGGTATATGCCACCGCACCTGGCTGGAGACATTTTATTAAAATCTTAGATCCACAATGTCCTGTCTATTAATTTCACCTCAAAAAGCATAGAAAAAGCTTGTGGGTTTGTTCTCATTGAATACCTTTATTTAATATTTAAACGATATTTAAAATAAAAATGATAGTTAATCAAAAATCAGAAACAAGCTCAAAGGGACACGAGTTTATTAATAAGGTCCCATTCTGTGTAGCTCCTACTGCCAGTGGCTTCTTATGTATCTTTCATGGAAATTTCTATGCACAGATGTGTGTACAGTGTAAAACTGAAATGGGCACGGAGAGGGTGAACTGCATCTCACCTTTTCCCCCCTCATCACTCTGTTTTGGAGACACTTCCAGATCTGTGTGCACTGGAAGAGGTATTCTGTCTTATTAATGAATATTTTGCACGGGATGGGGCAGTAGCCAGTGCTTGTTTTAAGGGCGCTGTGAGAGGAGGGACTGAGGGCCAATGATTTCACGTCGCCTCTCAGGTACAACCTACATGCACGTGCCACAGAAATTATGTGTATCACAGGTGGGGAATTCTCTTCCGATGCATCTGAAATCTTACAACCTTGGTCAGATTCTATATTCTAAATTAGAATAGGACTTCGCTTTTTTATGTTCTTGTTTGGAGTTTGAATTTAAAGGTGACATAGCGCCAGGTCTGAGGTAAACACTGTTTTGCTGTAGCGGCACTGTTTCGCTCAGGTCAAGGTGTCCTGGGTGGCCTTTGTTGGCCTTTTGCTTTGGGGGTTGACCTATGATGTGCAATTTTCGGTTGCCCTGAAGTTGTGCATAGCCGTGCTCGTATTTTTCCATCCTAGATCCCCATAGAGCAGTTTAAGCCATCGGACGTGGAAATACAGGCTCGCTTCCGGCACGAGAACATCGCAGAGCTGTACGGTGCTGTCCTGTGGGGAGACACCGTCCACCTCTTCATGGAGGCGGGCGAGGGAGGGTCTGTCCTGGAGAAACTGGAGAGCTGTGGACCCATGAGAGAGTTTGAAATTATTTGGGTGACAAAACATGTGCTGAAGGGACTCGACTTTCTGCACTCCAAGAAGGTGATCCACCACGACGTTAAACGTGAGTGGCGTGGGTGTTTGCCTCTTGGGCTTGAAGGCGCTTGGTGATCAGGAGGCGAGGGGTCCTCCCTTCAGATTGGAGCCACAGTGCAGGCTAGGGAGGTCTCCTGGGGTCACTGTACACTCCCTTCCCTTCACCTCTGTGACAGGGCTGGGGTGCAAGCTCAAAAGTTGCTGCTAATATTATAGTCACATTTCTACTAAATAATCCAACTGTGAGAAACTTAGGGCTGCAGATGTAGCTTGGTGATACAGGTCATGCTCAGCCTGCATGAGGTCCAAGGCTCTATCCCCAGCACCCCACCCCTCAAAAAATAAACAAAAGTAAGAGAAAAGTAATCTATTTAACACATAGCACACAAGTATTATTTTTAAGGATAAGTGGCTTTTACATTTTGAAGACCAGTTTGATTGTAGTATATTAGAGACTTCTAGAATAAAGATAGGCGAAGAAATAGGAGAGTAAGCCCCACTGTTAGTCTTTTTTACCTATTGCTCACTCAGGCAAAAGCACGACTTTTACCAGGGAAAACTGGAAATTTTATTTTGTGTTTTTTAAAAGTGGCTTAATAATAGCATACTTGTATCTTAGAATTTAAAAAGTAAGTTCCTGAGAATTAATAAAGGCTGCAGTCATTTACATCTGTGTTAGCTGGATTCTGGACAGATAGAAGTGATTTTCACCAACATTCTCACCAAATTCGTCCTACTCTTTTGAGTATGATCCGCTCATCTCACTATGGAAAGCACTGCATTCTGTCCTGATTTGGGAGTCACTGTTTTAGACAATGTTTTCATCTTCTGCACAGTATAGAAACAGTATTGTGCTAAAATTTCTGTCTCGTTACAGCCAGCAACATTGTCTTCATGTCCACAAAAGCTGTTTTGGTGGATTTTGGCCTAAGTGTTCAAATGACTGAAGACACCTATTTTCCTAAGGACCTACGAGGGACAGAGGTAATTATATTCGCGCGAAAGTTGCCAGTCCTTTATTAAGAGTTTTAAAAAGTTCTAGAATTACTGTGGAGATGAAGCACAAGGGGTTGAAAACTATTGTATTAAATTGCTGCTATCACTAGGACAAATTCAGTGAGCATTTGCTGTGTGCCAGATGCTAAGTTTAGCATTTTCATTTGTTTCTCTTTTGCTCCTGCTACTTCTAATACACAACAATGCAGTATTTGCAATGTGGTGTATATCGTGGTAGCCATCAATATATATGGGTCTCTCTATATTTGATAAATATACTTAGAGCCACCTAGAAACAGTCTAATGCCAAAGTAGATCGACAGTTGAGCACTCCTATTATGAAAATCCACATTGGGGTTACTCAGCTGGTATTGTAAAATTTAAAAATATCCCCAAATCCGAAAACCTTCTAAGTCTGTAGTGCCTCTGGTCCCACACATTTTCTGTAAGGAGTATTTATGTCCGCAGTTCAGCTGTAAAAACCATTGTGTTATTACAGTTAACTTTATAATAATAAATTTAGCACTTTAAATGAATTATATTGCTCAATCTCCGCAACAGTGCTGTATTGACCGATACTCCTATAGTAGCAGATAATACTGTTCCCATTTCACAATAAAGGGATAAACTCGGAGAGATTAAAATAAAGCGCCTGTGTTACTCAGCAGCTGACAGATCCCCAGCTTGGTCTTGGTTCTTTCCTGAATCTAAGCCTAAGGTGCTGTGTAACTTTTAGATCTAATACATTGTTTCGGTGCACGAAGACACTAGGTTAAACGTTATCTCCTCCAGCATGTGTCACTCTGCATCGTGAAGGCATCCAGAATCTTGTGGCTTTTGGAGAGAGATGGAACCCAGTTAGTTACCTACTGGGCTGCAGCAAACCGGAACTTCTCACCCTAATCTGACTGCAACTGAGCATCCAGACATCAACCTTTCCCTCTCCTTTCTTCCCTGGGAGGATCTCTTTTACATTTACCTGAGGTGTTCAGTAGGTCGTAGTGGGCAAGGAGCGGGTGAGGCAGAGAAGGTAACCCAGGCCTTGCCCACTGGCCTGAGAGGCTTCACACCCACCCAGCGCCCCCAGGGCCGCTGCCGGAAGTGGGAGAGGCTCCTTGGCTGAGCCGGGGCCTCAGGTTACCACCGCAGTCTCGGTGCTCAGCCCTGTGCCTGCCCTTAGCATAGCCGGCATATGAGCTGCACGGAACTCAACTGCAAGGTTTCAGCTTGAGGCGGGATCGCGTGAGACTTTTCTTAACAATTGCCATGCAAAGACTTGCTGGGCAGCAGGATCCATCCTTGTTTTGTGATATTCCTGATGTCATTCCTTCAGCTTGAGAGAGGATTTTTTTGTTTGTTTGTTTTGGTTTTGTAAGACAGGATCTCTCTATGCAGTTCAGGCTGGCCTTGGACTCACAGAAATCCTCCTGCCTCAGCCTGCAGAGTGCTGGTATTACAGGCATGTGCCACCATGCCTGGCAGGAGAGAGGGGATTCTTGATCACCACTCTTTTTTGTTTTAGCAAAATCATACTTGGAGAGAAAACTGCCAACTTTTTTAAAAAAGAATGTTTAGTTCCCAGATCTTAAGAGTACTTTGCCAAAAGCACAACACCCAATAAGACTTAATGCTTACAACATGTTTTCTTTGGAAAATGCTTGAACTGTTTTGGCAGAGGTCAGGGGTTCAGATATGTGACATTCCAGTCTTTCCTGGAGCCAGCCTGAGATGCACACTTTATGGTATTAGAGTTGGAAAATACCTTTTGCTTCCTGGCAGTGCGGCTGAGTCGCACATTTTGCAATGCTGAGAAGGACATGGCTCTTCTGGGATTCTCCAGCAGGGCACTCGGCTGAGAAACAGGGACATGTTTGACTCCCGAATAGTGTTTATTTAGATCAGGTTCTTCCAGTTAATGCAAATGGTTTTTTGTGAAGTGCAGAACTGGCTTCAGTGGTAATAAGTGCCCATTCAGTCTGCCTGCACTCACTGCCACAATTCAAGGTGGAATACGAGAGCCTGGCTGTGACCGTGAAGTCACTGAGGAAACCTTTGAACGGGCCTGCTCCTTCCACTGAAAGAGCAAATGCGATGTGGTTACTCAGTCGGCCGTGTGGCTCTGCTTCCCTTAGGAGATTGCGCCCTGCGTTGCCTGTCTCGGCCCCTCTCCTCTCAGCGTTCACGTTTTGGGTGTCTCGTTGTCACCTCGTAACACCCATACAGTGTCCATCTGGCAAACTTATCTATTTTTCCTTGCATGGCACAAAGAAGAAATAGTGAGTGTACTAACCAATTCAAATAACTTTGACAGTGCGGTCCTTTTAAAAAATTGTTACTTCTGAGCCTGGTCTTCCCCTCCCTCGGTGAATGTTCGGTCAGCACACGTGCAGACACGCACATGCACAGTCTCCTGGCCTTTCTGAAAAGCGCTCCACCCTGGCTCCAGTGCCACACCTGTGGGCGTGGGGCTCTGGGGCAGGGCCCTGCCCTCTGCCATCCCCGAACGTAGCCCGCTTGTGCGCAGCTGCTTGTCCTGACAGCGTCCTTCGTGCCGATGCCTTCCCTGTGCAGAGCTGGCAGTGAGGACAACACCCACTCCGTTTCTTTCTTTTCCTCTTTTAAGTGTTTTTGCCTGTGTTAGGAGCACTTAACATCCAGTGTCCCCCCTCACCAAAGTTTTCAGTGTGTGGCACTTTACCTCAGCTGTGGGGTACAGTGTGGCAGTTTTAGCTTTTAACTTTGTGAGTGTAGAGTCCTTCAAGATCCAGGCACTCTGCTGGGCTGCAGGGAATGTTGGTGAGCAAGGAGCTCAGCTCAGCTGTTTACTGACAGTGAAGGAAGCCAGCCCGGAAGTGGGTTATAGGAAGGAACTGAGCGGGGTAAGGATGGGGAAACCGGGCGATTTCCCCAGTTTCTATAAGCCAGTTTTCTCCTTACTCAGAAATCTATTCTGGGAACACTGACCCTTTCCCCCATATTCACATGACAGTTTAACAGAATTTCAAAGCTAAATATAGATTGAATACCTCTTTCCTTAACGCTTGACTTCTCATTTTGTAGCATTTGCATACATATAAGGAGGTATCTTTTGGGAGAGGACTCTGAACATGAAATGTCTACTTCATGTGCACATTGTGATATAACTTGAGGGTAACTTTATGCACTATTTTTTAATGTGCTCGTATTTTTTGTTTTATTTGTTATTTTGAGATGGGGGGGTCTCATAATATTGCTCAGGTTAGCCTCCAACTCCTGAGCTCAGGGAGCCTCCTGCCTCAGCCTCTTAAGCAGCTGGAACTATAGGTGTGTGTCACCATGCCCTGTGTACCTGTGTATGGACTGTGACCTGCCACGTGAGGTCAGTTGTGGAATTTTCCACTGTGATATCTGGTCAGGGCTCAAAAGGCTTCAGATTGTGGAGCATTTTGGATTTTCAGATTAGGAATGTTCAACTTGTAATGATAATTAAGATATTAATTACTCTTTGTCCTTACCATCCTGGAATTCCATATGGGTCACTAGTGTTTATTTTTTCTATCTCTTTCCTTTTTAAGTTTATAAATAAGAGCTTAGAGAAACTGTTTATGAGACTAGCCCCACTTATTCAGAATCGACCCGGGGAACCAAATAGATCTTGTATGCTGTTAGTGTGGCGGGTGTTTAATCTTAAGTTACCAGGCTCTACGTACGTAGACAAAAAAGGGTGGTTTGTAAAAGAGACTCATTCACATCGCATTTGTAGCTTTGCCTTTGATTTTTTAAGTTCTTCCCTTCTGAGTGATTCATGTCAGTGCCCGGTAGTTTCTGCCACCTTTTATCATTGCAGCCAGCTAGAGGCTTGGCGATCAAACGACGGATGGAGACAGGTGTGTTTGTGTGTCACGTAACTCTGAAAGTAACTGCTGTTTTAGTAGAGGGGAACTGTGCCGGCCAGTGTTGCAGAGCTCAGTGGGAGCTGCGGCCCGGGTGCTGGTGCCAGGCCCTTGGGGCTGCTCAGTCCATGGGGGCCATGCTCTGCTCAGCCTGCAGGGCCCCTGCCAGGGCCGCCTGCCACCCAGTGTCCACAGTGCTCCCTTGGTGTGGGGGACACAGCATTGGCTTTTTCCCTAAGGGCCGAAGTATGCAGCAAATGTAATAAAGGCAAAGGAGCCAAGTTCTCAGGATGATTGGGAAGTGGAAATGCAGACAGATCGGGACTCAGGCTGACGTTTCCCCGCTTGCCTTTCCCAGATTTACATGAGCCCTGAAGTGATCCTGTGCCGGGGCCACTCCACCAAAGCCGACATCTACAGCCTGGGCGCCACCCTCATCCACATGCAGACCGGCACCCCGCCCTGGGTGAAGCGCTACCCCCGTTCTGCCTACCCCTCCTACCTGTACATAGTAAGTGCGGTCAGGGCGGCAGGTGCCATCCACCGGAATGGGGTGGTGGTGAGAGGAGCTGCTGGTTCTTCCTGTGTGGAAAAGGAAGCCGCTCCACTGACTGGCATCAGAATGCGGCTCTGACAGCCATGGAAGTTGTATGTGTTCTTTGAACACTTTTTAAAAAGCTATCATTTCCCTCCAGGCCAGCCTGGCCTGTAGTGCGATATGCAGCTCCTCTTTCGCTGGCAAAGGCCTCAGAAACACTTTCCTGTTACTGCACAGTGAGCTTGGGCACCTGCAGGCAGGAAGTTGTCACCGGCAATCTCAGCCATGGCAGCTGCCTTTTGCAGGGTTAAACCGAAAAGTGGGGTTAGCTCGGCGCCCAGGGAATCAAAGGGAGCTCTCCAAGCACAGAAGCTCGGTGCAGGGAAGCACGGTTCCCCCAGGTCCGAGCACTCCCTGCCGAGAGTTGTCTCCCTACTGTGGTGCTCAAAGAGCCCTCTGCCTGCAGATCCACAAGCGGGCGCCCCCGCTGGAGGACATCGCTGGTAACTGCAGCCCTGGCCTGAGAGAGCTGATGGAAGCTGCCCTGGAGCGGAACCCAAACCTCCGTCCCAGAGCCGCAGACCTGCTGCGACACGAAGCCCTGAACCCGCCCAGAGAGGACCAGCCACGCTGCCAGAGCCTGGACTCTGCCCTGTTCGAGCGGAAGAGGCTGCTGAATAGGAAGGAACCGGAGCTTCCTGAGAACATTGCTGGTGAGGCGCGCTGTGGTGAAGGGTGCCCCTCGCCTCCCTTCTGCCCTCCGGGCCTCTGGTGCAGTCCATAAAAGTGCGGAGCAGGAAGAGTAGCAGCTAGGAGTGATGGTGTGCACTGTAGCCCCAGCACTCAGCAGGCTGAGGCGGGAGAATCACCTGAGCATAGGAGTTCTAGACCAGTCTACGCAACACAGCAACACTTTCCCAAAAAAAAGTCTATTTTATTACCGCGTTATGGCAGGTTTTCATCACAAGTGTAGGTAACAATACAGTCATTGGAAATTGCCTCTGACTCATTTTTATGTACCAGAGAATATCATTTGGCTTTACAACAAACCAAGCATGACGGCTTTGATGCTGGGGAAGTAGACGTTGTGTTTAAGTCAGCTACAGTAAGGCCCCCAGGCGCTGGTGGGAGGCCTCGTGACACTGCCCAGATGGACAGAGCACAGACTGGGACATCACCTTGCATCTTTATGTTCCCCAGGTAGCAGTCTCTTCGCCAGCTACAATTTGCCCCATGTAAGAAAGGCCACGTGCACCCCATGAGCTCTAAGTATGCATGTTGTCACTCATCTGTGGTGTTTGTGGCCCAAACTCGGATGACAAGTTTGGGATGCTTGTTTGCATTCTTTAGCTGCTTGTCTGATTTTTCTGTATTTAAGAAAACCATCCGGGTGGTTGAAATACATGCCAGGATTTCTACCCAATTTCTTGTCTTCACTGCCTCCCGTCTGAATTCTCCCGTCCAGGTCGTGATCCCTAGACTGGCCCCCAGCGTGGTGTCCAAAGGCCGTTCTGTAATAAAACCAGACCTTGGACGTGAAGTCCTTAGGCCCGAAGGACGATCTCTTAGCAGAAGGAACGCGCACATTATGCCCTTTGTTTCATTTTCCCCGTGTTTCACTGTACAGATTCTTCGTGCACAGCAAGCACCGAGGAGTCTGAGGCGCTCAGGCGGCAGCGCTCCCTCTACATCGACCTGGGCGCCGTGGCCGGCTATTTCAACCTCGTCCGAGGCCCCCCGACGCTGGAATACGGCTGAGCGCACGTGTCCACGAGAGGAGAGCGCGGCCCCCAGAAGCTGGCTTGGGAGAGGGGAACGCATCCTCTCGGGATGGGGAGGACTCCCAAGACAGGACTGCGACTGCGGGGCCGGGTGGGGGGCAGCGTATTTGTTTTGTGAAGACCTCCCAGCCCCCAGCAGCTCCCAAGGTTCTCATTTCCCGGGCATAGGACTTGGCGGAAGGAGCGTGCTCATGTCAGGATTGCCGGTGACTGAGTCCGTTTTTTTTTTTTGTGCACTTTGAAATTTTAAAACTCACAATCACAAATATGTTCGTCTCCAATTACTGTTCTTGGTTCTTATTATTTATGAGATCTTCACTTAGAATAGTTGTTTTGCATATGTTAATGTATATGAGAACTCTGAGCCTTTTTGGTAGATCCTAGTATAAACTTAATTCGTTATAGTTTGGGTGAATAGAACAACTTGAATTTTGTGGCAGTAAGCTTGACTAGTGTCCTAAAAGTGGCGGTTTAACTGGGAGCCATCTGCATGCAGGCCACTAGCGACAGTCTTTGTTAAGTTCCTATGGAAACACTGTGTACTATACACACTATGTTTAAAACATTTAAAACATTAAGTTTTGAATGTGGATAAAACTGTGTAAACCACATAATTTCTGTACATCCCAAAGGATGAGAAATGTGACCTTTAAGAAGATGGAAACTTTTGTAAATTCTTGGTGATGCTACTTTTGTAATTCTTGTAACTATTTTCCTTAAAGAATTTGTACATTAAAATAACATACTATGTATGTTTTATGTCACATGCTTTCATGAGTCTTTCTTCCATAACTATACATGTATTTTTAAGCACTGTAAAGTATGTAGATATTTCTACTTAATATATGTTTTTGCATCCTGTTAATGAAGCCCAACACTTCCGCCCAACGTGTCTGGTCAGTTAGCTGAATAAACCCATACTTCGCTTAATTGTGATGAGCATGATTTTCAGCTGGGACTGGGGTTGGGGTAACTATTTCAAGGGGACAGTGCATCCCAGAAAGGCAGAACCTACCCAGCAGCCTTGCACAGCGTGTGGTCCTGTGTCGCTGTGTAATGTCATCGTCGTGAGCTGGCATGTGTTGTGTCCTCTGGTGCACTGAAGTAGAAATAACTGTGAGCCCTTGCTTTCAGGTCCATGGGATTCTGCTTTGTATCTTGTTAGATCCATTTACATGACCTTTGTGTGTGCACTTGCATGATCTGTACTCTTACTGTTTGGCAAGTTAATAACTAACTTGCCTTTGTGTAAGGCAGATTTAAATCACACACACTGAATTCCCACCAAATGGGAGTCTGACCCTTCATTTACTGAGTAAGATGCAACGATCTTACACCTGCTATGCAGAACATGACATCCCTTGCTAGCCAGCTTCTGTCACTGTGACAAAGTACCAGAGATAATCAACTTTTTAAGGAAATGTCTATTTTGGCTCATGCTTTCAGAGGTTTTAGTTCATGGTCCGTTGGTGGGAGACAGAGAGGGAGGGAGAAAGAGAGGGAAAGAGGAAGAGGAGGAATCCTCTCCTTCAAGGCCATTCCTTCCAATGACCTAACTTCCTCCCACTAGGCCCCACCTCCTAAAGATGCTTCTACCTCCCAATCATGCCGAGAGCTGTGAAAATGCTCTGGGGGGCATTTGAAGTCAAACCATTGCATCTTGTAGCTTCAGCATGCCCACATGATACACACTCTTACCTCTTCTTCATAGAGGCAAACTGAAGCACAGTATGCTCAAAATCACAGAGGAGGAGAGCCCAGGCCTTTCTGAGTCCAGTACTCAGGCATTTCTTCATAGAAATCCTGGGCGGCTCAGTGCCCTGCGGGGAACCAGTCCTCGGGAAGGGCACACGTGGGTCTGTGGTGAAGCTGATGAGGCCACAGCCTGGCCCTGACTTGCTGTTGTCCTACCTGGGTCCCAGCAAGAAGCGGACCTGCCCTTGCAGCATGGTCTACACATTTCGATAATTTCAACGCAAAGCTAATCCAGATCACTGGGAGCTTGGCAGGGGTGTCTGAGGAAGTGGTCATGTGAGAGTTAGGAGGGGAAGTTCATGGCTGGGGCCGGTGTGCTGAACGAGCCGGGCTTACAGAGCTGTTTTTGGGTGAGGCTGAGGCTTGCAGTGGAGGTGGGTCATGGACAGAGCAGCAGGGAGGCCCATTGTCACCTTGCCTGGCATGGGGAGTGTGCCATGGGACCCGGGTGTACTTAGGGTGCAGTAGCCGCCCCTGGAAGGGCCTTGGAATCCCAGCTCAAGCTAAGGCGGTGCTGTCTCAGCCCTCCCTGGTAGACCGTCATGCTTGCTGAGTCACGTGGCCAACCTGGAGCCTGCCTTCTGGTTATCACTGCTTGCCCCTGCCTCGGCTTTGCCCAATGTCCGTAAAACAACCACAGAGATGAGGGCAGGGGGCCAGGCAGCTGCTGGACCACGTGGGGAGCTGTGTGGCCTGGAGGCGGCAGTTACCTCCTGCGGATCTGCGTCCCTTGGGCAAAACGTCCCGCATGCCTGCCACGTCCCTGAGGCCCACGGGACACTGCCAGCCCTGCTGTGTTCTCACCATTCACAGTCAGCAACTTGATCTGCTGTGGACAGTGCATTTCTGTGGTGTAAATACGAAGGCCAGCACTTTCCTGGAGGGTCCGGTTGGCAACACGAGCGGAGTTAGGACTGCTGGGTGCCATGTTTCACCAAGAAGCAGGTGTCACCAAGGCACCCTGCTGTCCAGGTTGGTTCTCAGGGTCCCAGGGTGCTGGGTGACGGGCTTGCACCACTGTGCCTGGCAAACTGAAGACTTATAAGGACTGCTCTGGACAAAGAACATTCTGGACCCAGCAGGGGCACAGCAGGAGATCTTGGCCACCTTCCGTATCCAGTTGCAGCTGAAAGCAAGCACTTCCCATTTTGGAATTGTTAGCAGGCTCTTTGTCTTAATTTTCATACTCAATAAATTTCCAAAAAGACTTGCTGGCCAAGGATTTACCTGAAATTTTACCTTCTGCGAGACAGCTTGCTTGTTAAATGTTGACTTAATCTCAAATGCCTGAGAAAATGATCTCAATGATGCGGTGGGACACCAAGGTAAGGTTCTCCAAACTCACTTCAGGCCAGGGAGGAGCAAGGTGTCTTTGTGCTGATCTGGGCTCACGCTCACCAGGGTTTGCGCTGGGCTCTCTTTGGGGAGTGACCGGTGTGCAGACAAGACAGTGAAGAAGAGAGGACCATGCTTCTGTTGTGCTGCACAGAGGCCCCAGGCCCCAGCAACAGCTTCCCTCCCACTGGCTATTGGATTTCAGATGGCTCCTTGTGCCCCCCGTGTTTACCTCCATGCAGGGAATCTGCCTCATCTGAGGACCCCATGGGCGGAGTGTGTGCTTCGTTTACTCCCAGGGCCAGGATAAGTTCTAAGCACGTAACCAACCCAGACATTTCTTTCACCACGCATCACACAAGTAGAGGGATCCACAGCTGGCTGTCTGGTCTCCAGGAAGGCGTTGGCTGACGAAATGAAATCCTGTTAATCTGGGGACTGGGAGAGAGAGAGGCCAGCTGGAAACACTCATCAATGGATAGTCAGGAAGGCCGGGGCATTCTCTGACTTCAGGGCTTGGGGAGGTGTCCCTAGTTGGCCTCACCGTTGTATCACCTCAGGGTGTAACAGGAAGACTCGAAAGGATGTGGAATTTGCTCCATGAATTTTGAGATCTTTAACTCATTCATGCTTAATGTTTTATGAAGGTTAATATACTTCATCTTCATCTTTCACATACGAGTGCAGAAAACTTCAGAGAGCATTTTAGGACACATCTCCATAGTGGTTCATTTATAAACTGAAGTATACTGGACACTTTGAGCCCAATTCACATTTTTCCAATGCCTCACTGGAGACGGGAAGGAAAATTTCAGCACACAGAGGGTTAATGAGTGACACTGAAGGCACAGAGATAAGAGTGGACTCCAGTTCAGTCTTGTTTGCACACACACACACACACACACACACACAAGCACACACTAGCACACCCGCTCCCCAGTCTCTTTTCTTTGCAGAACTATTTCTTCTGATCAGAAATCTAGGTTTTGCAATTTTGCTCCAATAGGACAGAGATCTGAGGGGTGGCTCTGGGCCTGGAGGACCATTCCAGCCTCCCTGGGTACATTTACCTGTGAGTCTGCAGGGCCAGGGAGCAAGACCCGCCACTTTTGCCTTAAATTACTTACAAAATAAAGAGAAAGACTGAGGCAAGTAACACAGGTTTTCTCACTGAAACCCCAAGTTCCTTCTCTTATCCCGCAGGCCGGCAAAGGAGAACCGGAAGGCGTGGTCTGGGCCTCCCTCCCCCGCCTCTCCAGCTTCTCCTTGCACACCTGTCCCCCACCCCCACCCAGCTCACTCCCAGATGGCCACCAGAGGCAACTGCTGCTAACAGGATGGTCTGTGCATACACAACCGTGCGCCTCTACAGCACTCTTCCTCGTGAAGAGCAGCCAACACACACTTAACCTAACTCACACATACTTTTACACCATGTTTTTTAATCACTTCATTTTATTGGTAAATTTAAGGTATACAATTTAGTGACATTCATCACTGGAAATTTGCACCTTTACATGATCCATCTTGGTTCTTATTTTTTCCCCATTCCCCCGCCCTCCCTTCCACCCCTCCATCCCTCCCTACCTACAAAGACTTTGTTTCCATTTTTTTCTCATGTTAAATCCATTCCCATCATTTTTTCCTCTACCCTATCCATTTCCCCTTCTGCTTTACAACTTTTCTTCCTATTTCAAATGATCTATTATACCTTTTAGTCCTTATTTACACTTTCAGTTTCTTACACTGGAGAAACTATTCGGTATTTTATACGTGTGTCTTTTCCTACACCAGTGTCTTCAAGAGTTCTCCCTAACCACTCTTCTAGCCAGTTTAGTGTTTCTGTTTATATATGTTTTTTTGGTTTTTTTGAGACAGGGTCTCTCACTATGTAGTTGAGACTGAACTGGAACTCACTATGTAGGCCAGGCTGGTCTCGAACTCACGGTGATCCTCCTGCCTCAGCCTCCCGAGTGCTGGGATTACACGTGTGCACCACCATACCTGGCCAATATTTAGATCTTTAGTCCATTTCAATTTTAATTGTGATAAAAACAGCATGGTGCTGGCAAAGAAACAGACCTGAGTAACAGTGGAACAGATTAGAAGCTGCAGAAACAAGTCCAGACACACTGAGCCACCTCATCTTCAACAAACAATGACCCTCACTGCAGGAAAGATAGCCTCTTTAATAAATGGTGCTGGAAAAACTGGGTTTCAACTTGCCAAAGATTAAAACTAGACCTATATCTGTCACCATTCACTAAACTAAAATAGAAATACACCATATTTTTTTGATAGCATATAGCCCGAAGATTACAGAAGGAAGTACTTGTTCAGAGCAATCCCTTAGTATGATTCTTATCCTGAAGGCAAAGCCTTTTCCTAACCATTTCTCCCATGAGGTGGGAGGCTCTGATCTGGCTGGCCGGAACATGTCTTTTCTCTTCTGGAATTGGAGGGACAGAGGAAGATGCCCCTTCAAGTTGCACCCAGCCACTGATCCATTTGTAGGGAAGAAAATTGAATGGGAGCCAATTTACCCATCTGCCTAAGACCACATTTGTTTGTGCACAGAGCAGGGATGTGAACCCCAGCTCCTGACTTCCCTAACCTCAAGGTTTTGCCAGCAGATAATACTGTTGTTTGCTGCTTACTATTCTCCATTAGTGTGTATGGCCTGGGAAATTCTAGAGCAGAAGAAAGGCAGCAGTTGGCGCTCCTGTCAGCTCTGGGGGTGGGGGATTGTTAGGAGCTATCCAGCCAGAATAACCATTTCCCTGTCAGCAATAGCAAGAGGCTGGTCTTGTCAGAGGTTCA